CAGAGATAAAAAACGTTCCCAAGGCCACAAACCTGCGACACAGGAAGAAAAACCATCTGCTGAGAGTAAGAGGAGGAGGCAGGGTTGGAAGTTCAAAGAGAGTGGGGCTGCTAAACCTGTCATTTTGGAGAATGAAAAACAATTCACTAGGGAAACAGAATTACTGGGGAATATGGAAGGCCCAGTTGTGCTGCCTAATCATGAATTTGTACGATTCCAATCTACCTAGTTTATGTGATTTTTCTCAGCAGCACAGACAAGTCAGAGAAACACTGGCCTGAATAAGATCTTTTAAATCGGTAACACTTAACCTGCGTGTGCATTAGAATTATTGAGGAGCTTTAAAAAAGGCAGAAGAAAGGCTGGGCGTGGTGGCTTATACCTGTAATCCCAGCACTTTGGGAGGCCAAGGTGGGCGGATCACCTGAGGTCAGGAGTTCGAGGCCAGCCTGGCCAACATGGTGAAACCCTGTCTCTACTCTACTAAAAGTACAAAAATTAGCTGGGCGTGGTGGCAGGCACCTGTAGGTCTATTTAAGCTGGGAGAGAAGTAAATATGCTAAATGCTGATGGGAGAAGAGCTAACAAAGAAGTAGTTGAAGAAATATGAAGCGATAGGACAGCAAAGTTCCTGAGGATGAGGGAGGGGGTGGAATTCAGAACAAAAGAATAGGGTAGGGATTAAACTCAAACAGGAGAAGGGGTTCCCTCTATTTTAACAGGAGAAAATAATGAGTACTAGATGCAGGTAAATCGGTAGATTTGATCACAGGAAGTTGAGAGAGCACGAATAATAGTTTACATTTTCTTTGTGGTTGGGGGCAGTGGCTCATGACTGTAATCCCAGCATTTTGGGAGGCCGAGGCGGGCGGATCACGATGTCAGGAGATCGAGACCATCCTGACTAACACAGTGAAACCTCGTCTCTACTAAAAATACAAAAAAAATTAGTCGGGCATGGTGGCTGGCGCCTGTAGTCCCAGCTACTCGGGAGGTTGAGGCAGGAGAATGGTGTGAACCCGGGAGGCAGGGCTTGCAGTGAGCTGAGATCGCGCCACTGCACTCCAGCCTGGGTGACAGAGTGAGACTCTGTCTCAAAAAATATATATATATATTTTTTCTTTGCGACACAGGAAGAAAAACCATCTGCTGAGAGTAAGAGGAGGAGGCAGGGTTGGAAGTTCAAAGAGAGTGGGGCTGCTAAACCTGTCATTTTGGAGAATGAAAAACAATTCACTAGGGAAACAGAATTACTGGGGAATATGGAAGGCCCAGTTGTGCTGCCTAATCATGAATTTGTACGATTCCAATCTACCTAGTTTATGTGATTTTTCTCAGCAGCACAGACAAGTCAGAGAAACACTGGCCTGAATAAGATCTTTTAAATCGGTAACACTTAACCTGCGTGTGCATTAGAATTATTGAGGAGCTTTAAAAAAGGCAGAAGAAAGGCTGGGCGTGGTGGCTTATACCTGTAATCCCAGCACTTTGGGAGGCCAAGGTGGGCGGATCACCTGAGGTCAGGAGTTCGAGGCCAGCCTGGCCAACATGGTGAAACCCTGTCTCTACTCTACTAAAAGTACAAAAATTAGCTGGGCGTGGTGGCAGGCACCTGTAATCCCAGCTACTCGAGAGGCTGAGGCAGGAGAACTGCTTGAACCTGGGAGGCGGAGGTTGCAGTGAGCCAAGATCGCGCCACTGCACTCCAGCCTGGGGACAAGAGTGAGACTTTGTAAAAAAAAAAAAAAAAAAAAAAGTAGAAGAAAGAGAGAGAGATGCCTGGGTCCTATCCCAGACCAGTTAAATCAGAATCTCTGTAGATGGGACCATGGCCTCAATTTTAAAAATTCCTCAATTTTAAAAATTCACTAATTCGACAAATATTGATTGAATGTCTACTATGTGTCAGGCACTGGGAACACCACAGTGAAAAAAGAGACAGGAATTCTTGCCTTCATGGAGTTTAGCTCCTAGTGGATAATAATAGTAACTTTTGCAAAAGTTCTCCAAGTGCTTCCATAAGAAAGAACTGCTGTTGTTAGCGTCTAATTGATGAGGAAACTTGACTTCACTTATGAAATAGGCCCAACCAGATAAAACTGGATAGCCTTCCCAGGATATGTAAGGCCAATAAAAACAAAGGATTAGGAGCACAGCTCATATATCCAAATCAAGAAAACAGAGAGCAGAGATAAAAAACGTTCCCAAGGCCACAAACCTGATTAAACTCCAGTTAAAAGTTAAAAAAGCAAGATCTCTACAGGTCAGCCTTCGAGCATGAGAGGTAAATTTAAAGCCTGTAGTCCCAGCTACTCAGGAGGCTGACGCAGGAGAATGGCATGAACCCAGGAGGCAGAGCTTGCAGTGAGCCGAGATGGCGCCACTGCACTCCAGCCTCGGTGACAGAGCGAGACTCTGTCTCAAAAAAAACTGGAGGTAACAGGCAAAGTCAGGGAGAGGCCTTAAACATGAACGGAGTCAGTTCTGTCTACAGGGAAGATGAGAGTGAGCCACAGTCTACATGAATAAAGAGGCAGCGCTAAATGTTAACATTCTTTGGTAACCAACATCAAGCAAGAATACTGCAATTCTGAATGAGTTCACTCTCCTTACGAAAACACACTAGTTGCATGCACGCTTGTTTTCCTTTAAGACATTTATAGAGGACCAAAAGAAAAAAAAAAAAGGAGACAGCATATTCCTTAGAGGAGTTTCTTAGGAAAGAGGAATATTTTATTTTCGGACCAGGAAAAATATGGGGGCAGGAGCAATAGGAGATTGCTGCTAGCAAAAATGAGGCCAGTCATTCAATGCCATACTCCCAAAGCTATGAACAAGAGGATCTGGGCGGGACCAAGCCCCAGGTCAGTAACGGCTGCAACACATCCATTTATCCATCTGTGGGCCTATAACCATATGAGCACCTGGGTGATGTGACGTGGAGGGCCAGCGATCAGGAAGCTCCTGCCCACCAAATACCTTCATTATGATGTCTTCAAATCACACAGCTATAACAGAACTTAAGTTTCCCTCCCAAACTGGTTCCCTCTTAAGTTCCCTATTTCAGTGAACGGGTTTATCATCCTTGATTCTTTCTTTTCCTTCCATTTCTACACCCAACTGGTCATAAATAAAGTAGACCCCACCTCTCAAATCCCTTACATCTGTGCATTTCTCTGTTTCTACAACCACTCCCTAGTCTAGGCAACTATGACTGCACAAAGGGATTATTCCAAGAGCATCACAAGCAGACTTCCTGTCTAGTTTTAGCAGATGGTTTTTCTAAAACATTAGCCGATCGTGTCACACTCTATCTTGAAACCTTTTAACATCTTTGCACTGTACTAGGATAAAATACAATCCAACATGGTTTACAAAGTCCTTCACAACACGACCCTTCTTACCTCTCCAGGCTTATTTCTTATTATCATCCCTTCTTTGCTCTTTGGTCTAGTCATACTGAACTAGTTTCAGTACAGTGAAAGTAAACTTTCTGCAAAAGTCCTCAGGTGATTCTAAGGGGAAGCCAGTGTTGAGAACCACTGTTGTTAGCATCTAATTGATGAGGAAAATTGGATGCACTTAATGGAATAGGCTCAACCTATCTCCTACCAGAGAAAACTGACAGCTTCTCCAAGAGAAAAGTACAAGTCTTTTCACGGCTTCAGTCCTTAAAACAAGCCAGTGGCTCCCAAACTTTGCTATACTTTGGAACCACCTGGGCTTCTTTAAAAACTACTGATATTCCTTCCCTGACATTTTATTTAATTGGCATGGGGATGATATGGGGATTTTGAAAAGCTCCCTGGGTAATGCTAATGTGGAGGTTTGAAAACCACGGGAATAAGTTATTTGTTTGGCTTGAATACTCTTTCCCTAATTCACCTGCAAAATCTCTAATTATCTTTTAGGCCTCATTAAAAAAAATCACTTCCTTGACTCCCTACACCAAATGAGTTGCCCCTATAATTAATGAGCGCCCCTGCACACTGGGCTTCCACTACTAGCATGTCTCGTATCATATTTCACTTATGCCCAGATGACATATTTCACTTATGCCCAGACGACATATTTCACTTATGCTCAACTTGCTCACTGTTAGACTTCTAGTCCAGTGTTCAGCAAAAGGCTAACACATATGGATACGATAAGTATTTGATAAATGTGATGAATACAGCTCAGCCTAAAAGGATATATTAAAGATAGCAAAATAAATTATAGAATCTAGAACTTGCTGACAATGAACAAATCTGGCCATGGTTGAAGAGGGAATCACTTACCTGTTTAATGACATAATGAATCTCTTCAGAACTGAGAACACTACATTTAATATCAGTTGGTTTACATGGAGTAATTCCCTTATAGACAAGAGGTGTGTAGCATTTCATTGCAAATTTCAAGTCACTGACATGCCTCCTCTCTTCTAAAATATCTTCAAACTCATCCCACTTTTTGAGCTCCTTCTGTGGATAAGGCAAGAAAGTTATGAGCACATACTGTAAAATAAATCAGGACAGATTAAAGACTACATTGGTAAGGTTTCATCGTTGACAAAATTTTACTCTATGACATACGAAAAGGAGTAGAGTGTTCTGATGTTAGATTTTCACATAGTAAGAAAAAGAGATGTAAAGAAAATTAGGATCAACAGATTGATACTGACTTATCATAATATTTTATTACATTTCTGATTGCTACCATTGCCAGTACCTCTTTGGGAAATTTAATGAAGACAGCAAAGATGAGACATTAAACCCTAGAGTAATCTGGTCAACTTTACATGGTTTCATCTGCCACACTGACAAACTTGTTTCGTTTGCCTCTGCTTAGCTTTTAAAATTACATTAAAACATACATTTGAAACACAAATTATATAAAATAAAAAACCATATGGTGCAAACAAAAGGACAAATCACTCAAGAAACAAGTGCTCCAATAAGGTACTATTGAGCAGTACATTGCTGTGATAACTTTCTTTTCTTCTTCTTTTTTTTTTTGAGACAAGAGCTCATTCTCTTGCTCAGGCTGGAGTACAGTGACACCATTATATAGCTCACTACAGCCTTGAACTCCTAAAGCAATCCTCCCTCCTGCCTCAGCCTCTCGAGTAGCTAGGATTACAAGTGCATACCACCAAGCCCAGCTAATTCTTAATTTTTTTTTGTAGAGACAGAGTCTTGGCTGGGCATGGTGGCTCACGCATGTTAATTCCAGCACTTTGGGAGGCTGATGCAGGAGGACTGCTTGAAGCCAGGCATTCAAGACCAGCTTGGGCAACATAGCAAGACCCCATCTCTACAAAATAAAATGATAATAATAATAATAATATTAATGAGGTACAGTCTTGCTCTGTTGCCCAGGCTGGTCTCAAACTCCTGGCTCAAGCAATCCTCCTGCCTTGGCCTCCCAAAGTGCTGGGATTACAGGTGTGAGCTATTGTGCCTGGCCTGTGACAAATTTTTTATTTCTTATTCAGCCCCTGCCATTCAGCTGCTAACCAATCAGCCCCTGAAACTGCTCTTTACAAGGCTACCAATGACATCTGAATTGTTAATTTTTTAAAAAGTACTTTTCTTCAAAAGTAGTAGTAATAATAATTATAGCTAACACATATAACTGCTTACAAAGAGTCAAGACACTTGTAATACGTGCTAACACTAAAGTGTTAAGCAGCATTCTAAATGCTTTAGAGGCTTAGGCACCACTCTTCTATGAAATCTCTCCCAGAGTCCTGGATGGAATCACTCCTATTTTCCCTGTCACTTCTTTTCCTACTATCTACATCTATTATAGTATGTATCCGACAACACTGTAATTGTTTGCATGTCTGTCTCCCTACTAGAATGAAATTATCTTGAAGATAGGAAACTTCATTTCCTCTTTGTATTTCCAACATCTGGTTGTATTTGGAATACAGCAAAATTGGTCAATAAGTGAACGCAGTAACTGAAAGACTAAATGTTGAGGTACTAGAAGAAAATACAGAATGTTAACTGAGACCACAATTTGGCCTAAGAATATAAGTGGAAGCAAATAGCATTTATGAGGAGTTTATAAAAAGGTGGCAGGTGAAACATGCAAACATGAACATTTTTATGTCCATATATAGAGAGACTATATGAAGGAACGGTCTTTTCACTGTTGAAGTTCTCATGTAAAGTTGCAATCCTTGTAATATATGAAATACTCTTGCTTATAAGGCTGGAAAACTTTCTCAAATCCCACATTTCTTATTAATAAATATATAGTTGTATCAGTTTGAGCTCTATAGACTGCAGCCAACTACCATTATATCATTTTAGGGCTTAAAAACAAGAACTTCCCATTTAGTGGTCCTGGGAGTGGAAGGAGAAAAGGATCAGAATCAGCTGGGGATACATACATACACACATACAGTCATGCACTGCTTAACAACAGAAAGACACTCTGAGAAATGCATTGGTAGGCAATTTCATCATTGTGCAAACATCATAGAGTGTGTTTACACAAACTCAGACGGTATAGCCTACTACATACCTAGGCTAGATGGTATAGCGGTTAGCCTATTCCTCCTAGGTTACAAACTGTACAGCATGTTACTGTATTGAATGCTATAAGCAACTGTAACACAATGGTACGTATTTACACAAAGAAACACAAAAAAAGATACAGTAAAAATACAGTATTATAATCTTATGGGACCACCATCATATATTGAGTAAAACATTGTTATGCATCATATGACTCTGTGTTTGTGTGTGTGTATATATGTATATATAGTTGACCCTTAACACACATTTGAACTGCACAGGTCCACTTACACGAGGATTTTTAAATTAAAATTTTTTTTCAATAAAGATGCAGGTCTCGCTATGTTGCCCAAGCTGGTCTCAAACTCCTGAGCTCAAATTATCTTCCCACCTCAGCCTCCCAAAGCACTGGATTACAGGCGTGAACCACCATGCCTGGCCTGTATGAGGATTTTCTGCTTCTGCCACTCCTGAGAGGGCAAATCCAACCCCTCCTCTTCCTCCACCTCCTCCTCGTCAGCGTACTCAATGTGAAGTGACGAGGATGAAGTGGATTAATGACGATCCACTCCCACTTGATGAACAGTAAATATATTTTCTCTTCCTTATGATTTTCTTAGTAACATTTTCTTTTCTCTAGTATACTTTATTAAGAATACAGTACATAATACATACAACATATAAAATAAACATTAATGAATTGCTTATGTTATCAGCTAAGTCAACAGTAGGTTATTACTAATGAAATTTTTGGAGAGTCAAAAGTTATTTGTGGATTTTCAACTGTGCAGAGGTTTGGTGCCCCTAACTCCCATGTTGTTCAAAGGTCAACTGTACATAAACATAGACATGTATGGGAGCGAGGGAGTCTTCAGGATAAAAACCCCTAAGGGAAACTAGCAGGCATGTATACTTTGAAAAAGCTTGCCAAATATGATCATCTACAATCCTTCCATGGTTCTGTTACTTGCAAGGTGGATTTACATCAAGTCCATCTGTCTTAGCATATGACCCCAGGCTCTTCATGACCCCCACCTCCTGCCTCATGACCATTCCTCTTAATCCAACAGTCCAGCTATGTCATGACCTGCAGTTCCCTAAACAAACTGTGTTCCCAGATCTTTGTTCAAGTTGCTCCCTCTACAGAATAGGATTCATTCTCAAATATTTGAATGCCTATGTGCTTGACACCGTAGTATGTGCTGAGGATATAGTGGTGATCAAGAGAGAGAGAGTCTTTTTTATGAAGAACAAGGTGGACGGTGGTACCAGTTACTGAGAGGGGCATTTACAAATGCTCCTTCCACACTGTTCACCTGGGAAATATTTAGCCATAAACCAGAGCTTGTGTTACCTCTTCTGTGTCCCATATTCTGCTTCTCCCCTTTACCTAGATTGAATAGGTCATCCTTTCCTTTCAGTCTTTACTGAGCCCTCAATAATTGGATTTTCAAGATGGTCTCTAAAACACTTCATTAAACTTGTATTTGGTGCCTCCCTTACAAGACTGTGAACTTCTTATCTGGTAGATAAGGTGTCTTATACATTTCTGTACTCCCAGTTTCTAGTAGGAAATCATGTCACTGTAGAATGAAAAAATAAATTACAGAATGAAGTCACTTTTTGAACCCTGTCGATGATGGCTCCTCGGTATTCACAGGATAAGGCTCAACTCTCTCCCCATTCTGGCTCTTACCCAATGTCGAATCCAGTGTTTTTTTCTGTTTTTTTTTTTTTTTTTTTTTTTTTGAGACAGAGTCTTGCTCTGTTGCCCAGGCTGGAGTGCAGTGGCACAATCTTGGCTCATTATAAGCTCCGCCTCCCAGGTTCACACCATTCTCCTGCCTCAGCCTCCCGAGCGGCTGGGACTACAGGCGCCCGCCACTACGCCTGGCTAATTTTTTGCATTTTTAGTAGAGACGGGGTTTCACCATGTTAGCCAGGATGGTCTTGATCTCCTGACCTCGTGATCCACCTGCCTCGGCCTCCCAAAGTGCTGGGATTACAGGCGTGAGCCACCGCGCCCAGCCGAATCCAGTGGTTTTTAACTCAGGCTGCACATTAAAATAACCTAGGGGCACTTCAAAATAAATACTGATATCCAGGTTCCACCTCTAGAGATTTTTGATTAATTTGGTCTGTGAGTGCTGCTTAGCTGTCAGAATTCTTTTTTTAAAATACTCCAAGTGATTCCTACGTGCAGCTAGGGTTGAGTGTTCCTGCTCATTAATTGGCCTTCCCTATACTATGCTTGAGAATTTTTTACTATCACTAAGTAAATTTACATGGCTACTCACTCAGGAACATAACACAAAGAAGAACCCAAGTAAGCCTTAGGGGAACTATCTCTCCCCCATCTTACTTAGAGTAGGGCAGGCCTCTCCCTATTGCTAGTGAAATAGGCCTTTCTTGTACCTCCCTTTTAACTGCTCTGGAGGATCCATTCATTCAACAGATAGTGACTGAGAGCTCACAGTGTACCAGGCACTGTTTTATAGGCTGTGAATACAGCATGAACAAGGAAAGCAGGGACTGCACTGAGAGCCTACATGTCCTTATGGAAAGACAGACAACAAATAAACAAGGTAAATTCATTTAGTGATACCACCAGTAGTATGTTGGTCAATGTTTAACCATTTAACACTTGATATGGGAGAGCTCTGAGTTATAGCATTTGTCAATTTTTGTGAGATATATGCTCCCACCAGGGCAGATTTAAAGCTACGAATCTGATCCCAGCAAATGCAAAACTGAGGAGGAATGAGCAGTAGCACACAGTTATATAGGATCTCCACGTTCCAGCATGATAGACAAATAATCTCAAGAGCACAGGTAACAGTATAATAATGAGAAAATGCTAAGTTTTCAGTATTTATTACCTTTTTTAAAAACAGGATTTATTTAATTATAAATTTGTATAATACTTAATTTATTTTTTTTGAGATGGAGTTTCACTCTTGTTGCCCAGGCTGGAGTGCAATGGCACGATCTCAGCTCATCGCAACCTCTGCCTCCCGGGTTCAAGCAATTCTCCTGCCTCAGCCTCCTGAGTAGCTGGGATTATAGGCATGCAGCACCATGCCCAGCTAATTTTGTGTTTTTAGTAGAGATGGGGTTTCTCCATGTTGGTCAGGCTGGTCTCAAACTCCCGACCTCAGGTGATCCACCCACTTCGGCCTCCCAAAGTGCTGGGATTATAGGCGTGAGCCACCGTGCCCGGCCCAGCCAGCAATAAAAATTCTGAGAAAACATAGCATGCCACACAGAAGGGACTATGAGCATTCTGAGGGAAGAACATGCTTACTGACTGAGAAACAGAAGGCCAGGGTGGCTAAAGCACAGGTGAACAAGAAGATTAGTAAAGTCAGAGTAATAGCAGTTAAGAGATCATGTACAGTCTTGTGGGATACTGTAAGGCATCTGGATCTTTCACTTGGACTTTAACAGGAAGTCATCATCTGGATTATGGCACACCAGTGGTTACCATTCCCGGTCTTCTTTTCATTCTAGGGTCTCGCTGAATGATTTCAGGCTCACCGATGGCTACAGATACAACCTATTTGCTGAAAAATCTATACAATTAGGCCAGACTCCCTCTCTTGCTCTGGCACCGTATTTCTAACTCTACTCGGATCTCTCCCAAATACCATGGAATGTATCTGGCCCATAACATGATAATCCACAAGTTAAAAATCATTATATTTCTCTCTTACATCACAAACTGAACACACCCCAAACTGAATTCTATTACCCTGACTAAACCTGCTCCTCTCCCCATATTTCCTATCAATGAAAGGCCTCATCATCTGCCCAGTTGCCAAATCGTAGAAACCCAACAGTGAACTTCAGATTATGCTCTCTTCCTTAGCCACCACATTCAAATGGTTCCAAAGGCTGATGATTTACTGTCATAAATATCACACAAATTCATCAGTTTCCCTTCTTCCCGGGCTCACTGTTACTGCCTTACTGCAGGTTTCATTACTTTTCTGGATTACTGCAATAGCATTCTAACTGATCACCACTTTTATGCATCAGATTCCCTCCCCAACCTGATTCTCTTCCTACAATCTCTACTCAGGCAAGACAGGTTACCTATACAGATAATCACACCAGAAACCTAGTAGTCTTCTCAGACTTTCAAAAATATAAATGTACTTTGGGAGGCCAAGGCAGGTGGATCACTTGAGGCCATGAGTTCGAGACCAGCCTGGCCAACATGGTGAAACCCCTTCTTTACTAAAAATACAAAAATTAGCCGGGTGTGGGTGGCAGGCAGCTACTTGGGATGCTGAGCAGGAGAATCTCTTGAACCCTGGAGGTGAAGGTCGGCGTGAGCCAAGATCGTGGCCATTACACTCCAGCCTGGGTGACAGAGTGAGACACCATCTCAAAAAAAAAAACCCACATATTTATTTTACGTATACATTATGTGTATATCACACACACACACACACATATACATATGTAAATTAAGATCACCCATGAAAAGTTACGATTTTATCCCTAAGGATATGTAAACACGACACACATAAAATTTCTTTTAGGAAATATAATCTGCCTACTTCCTATACTTTTGTTTCTCATGTCTCTTTTTCCTCCACCAAACCTAACTAACTAATTCCTAACCCCAAATATGCAAGGAATAGTTCTTACATCAATGTCTAGGACAGTTTTCCCTCCTCATCTGCCATTCACAGCCTCAAAAACTCAGCTCAGCGCCAGGCACAGTGGCTCATGCCTGTAATTCCAGCACTTTGGAGGTGAGTAGATCACTTGGAGGTCAGGAGTTCAGCCCAGCCTGGCCGACACAGTGGATCTTGTCTTTAGAAAAATACAAACATTAGCAGGGCGGGTGGCGTGTGCCTAAAATCCCCAGCTACTCAGGAGGCTAAGGCAGGAGAATTGCTTTTGAGCCCCTTGGAGACGGGATGGTTTCAGTGAACCAGGATCGAGCCACTGTTCTCCAGCCCTGGGCAACATAGCAAGACTGTCTCAAAAAAAAAAAAAAAAAAAAAAGGAAGATCAGCTCAGATGTCACCTTTTCTAGAAACTTCTCCAAGTACCCAAACTGGTCAGGTGCCCCTTCTTGGTCACTCCCACGAGCGCAACGCTATGCATGCTGCAATCATTGCCCTTATCCTACTTAACTGTAATTACTTGTTTACTTTTATGACTTCTTGTGCCCTTAAAGGCAGAGCCTGGATCTGTAACTTCTATATCTCAGAAACTGAGAATAATGAGTAGGATACTGTATATATTCCTAATGTTTGCTGCAATCAGCAGTATCTTATATGTTTCTAAAATGCTACTTTTAGATCAGAGTATTACACAATAACAGTGTAGCTGGGGAAATAAAAACAGCCTGAAGTACTAAGAGAAAGTAAGGTTACCATGGAAGTAAAGGTTATCCAGTCACAAAACAGTAGCGAGAACTAGAGGGTTGCTGTCCAGCATCAGAACTACAGAATGCTCAGATCCAACTGCCATAGTTTTTCACATGAAAAAGTGGACTCAAGTCTTATTAAAGAATCGTTGGTGAAGGGGGAAGTAAAAAAAAACCAAAAAAACCAACTCCTTCCTTTAACGTACAAAATGAAAATTCCAGCCAATTCACAAACCAGTTGAGAGCTTAAAAAGCTACATGTTAAAAGCTGGATCTGCATAGCAACCCTCTTCCCTTCATGCCTGCTCTGGAGTAGCAGTCAGAAAACAAAGTTGATATCCACCACAGAACTGTGGGGAAGATCAATGTAGAGAGAGATTTAAATAATAAGCCTTATAGGCAGTTAGCAATCAGAAACCGAAAGGTCTTGATAGAGAGGGAACAGAAGTTTCTCCATGTTCCAAAGAATATTGGTGTCTCAATTTGAAGGAAGCCATATTCTCTTTCGAAACTGGGATGTTTATCTTGCTCTGTCGTGTTAACCCTGTTTTGACCTTTCTGCACAAATGAACACTACATTTAAGCCCAAACCGGACACTAATCACCAGGACATGCTAATATGCTTTTAAAATGAATTATTTTATTTCCTCCTAAAGTAGCTAAAGATCAATTTAGTGGTTAAAAACAACAAGAAACAAACAAAAACCAAATCAGTTGCCCCAGGACTGTGCAATCCTGAAGGCTATAAAAAAGGCTATAAAACTTCCATCTCATAATTTCTTCATGAAAATCGTGGGTGACCAACATCTGCCAGCAAAAAAGACCGGTTAAAACCAAGAGAGGAAGAGGGGGTTGGGGGAAAAAAAGGCAAGCGGGAGAGAAGCTGGGTGGCGCTGGCGGTCCTCCAAAATGATTTGTGAAAAAGGTACAATAATGACTGGAAGACAAAAACAGGCAATAAAAATGTCTAGAAGTTCTAAATTTTCCTACATTAAAGTGTTTAAAACTCTATCCTCACATACAAGCCAAGTGCTTTACTCCCAGGAATATAACAGCAGCAAAGAACGGGGTGCGGAGCTACAGGCTATCTCAGGGCGGGTCAGACCCGCAGGTTTCTCAGGTTTGCCCAAAAGGTAGCTAGACACGCCCTTGCTAGAGATGGGGAGACTCCAATTCTCATCCCTCATTCCCGTGTCCAGGAGCTTTCTGAAGGCCCAGGGCCTGATAGAAAGAAAGAGAAGGAACAAGTGGAAAGGAACCAAAGGAACCATAATCGGTAGAAACTTCCAAAAGCATGCACACACAGACACACAACGATACACTGTTGTCCTGGAAACCAACCCAACCAACTAACCCCTCCTCGGGAGCCTAGGGGGCCAGCTCTTTTGGGCAAGGGTCTTGAGCCGGAGGAATAGGGAGTGGGAGAAAGGGGTACTATCTCGCGCAGCTCCGCTCTGGGCCTCTTTTCCCTGGGCGCCTACCGAGTAGAGGAGCACGACAGCGCTGGGACTGGTTGGGCCAACGGAGAAATAAGAGTTAGATGAACTGGGAGACTCCATGGTGCGGCTGCCGTCCCGGGCGGGGTCTGGGATTCTTTGCTAAGCAGTGGTGGTGCTGCTGCTGGGGGCGGTTCTTTCGCACAGGACGGCCCTACTTCGCCTAGGGCGGCGGCACCCTCTGCAGCCGCACCACAGGACCCCGGGCGCCGCCATCTCAGCCAGGACGGAAGCCGCGCAGGGCCCTATGGCGCATGCGCGCAGTCGCGGAACCCGGAAGCGGGGACGCCGCGCGGCAGAATGAGGTTTGATTCCTCGGTTGATCCCACAATGTCGCAGGAGCAAGGCCCGGGGTCCTCCACACTTCCCAGTTCTCCGACACTTCTTGACGCTCTGCTCCAGAACCTTTACGACTTCGGTGAGTGCGGGGTCCCAGGAGCCCACGTGGAGAGCAGATCTGAGGAACGTGGTTCTCCTGTGCGGCCTGTGCTGGATTGGCCTCTGCTTTGAGGCTAAAGGTTCTTGCATGTCAAGCACCCGTAACTTCGTCCCACCTGGTTCCAGTAGCGGATGCAGAACACATTTCTCCATCGGAAGTCACCCCTTGACCGGGCTCTGTCGAGTTATTCATCAGACCTGCCAACTCGTCCCCAAGTGTGGGGACCGTCGTACTTTCTTGTAGGAAGCACCAAGGCTTTCCGATTTAACGCGGGCAGTGCGCACAGGACCTTGGACTCTCGAAGTAGCCCACTTTTCCACGTTTTCTTGAGCTCTGGGAAGTCCCCTTTCCCCATGCCACCCCCAAGACCTGCCTGACGTTGGTGCGATAGTGTCATTTCGCTCTGGGGCCTCGGGCCTGTTGGATAATTCACCAGCTTCATCCTTGTGTGTCCCTCGCCAGAGACATAGCCCTTGGCGAGTTGTCCTTTTCCAACTTTTTTTTTTTTTTTGAGACGGAGTCTCGCTCTGTCGCCCAGGCTGGAGTGCAGTGGTGCGATCTCGGCTCACTGCAAGCTCCGTCTCCCGGGTTTACGCCATTCTCCTGCCTCAGCCTCCGAGTAACTGGGACTACAGGCGCGCACCACCACGCCCGGCTAAGTTTTTGTATTTTCAGTAGAGATAGGGTTTCCGCCGTGTTAGCCAGGATGGTCTCGATCTCCTGACCTTGTGATCCGCCCACCTCCGCCGACCAAAGTGCTCACAGTCGTGAGCCACCGCGTCCGGCCTTTTTTTTTTTTTTTTTTAAAACAAGTGCGCCAACCTTTTACTCTCCGTTCTTTATCTTGATGGGGGAAAAGGAAAATAAAAGAGCCCATTAAAGTCGCATGGCGTGTCAGTAGGAAGACAGTGCCTCATACTCTGAAGAGCTTGCCTGGAAGAAGGTGACACCCTTTGCACATGCACTAAGGAAAATCATTAGATTTCAGGACAACACACATTTCTTAAATTTACAGCGTGATATTTTAAAGGCTATTTTTATTTTGGAACGGCTGCTCAAAATTCTAAGCTCACCTAAACAGTAGGAATAATAATTAAAAGTATTGAGAACTTGCCATATACCACATGCTTTTCATGTATTTGCTAATTTAATTTTTAACTTCATGAAATAGACACTGTCATAAATCCCATGATTGCAAATGTGAAAGCAAGTACTAGAGGTTCATGAAACCTGATACAGGTTGTCTAACTGGTAATTTTTGCAGAGCCTGGATTCTGATTCTAGCCCCAGACCCCACACTTGTATTCACCAGTATTTCTGTGCCCTTGGACATACTGGAGGACAGAGAAGACTTAGTCTCTGACCTTGAGAAGTTTAAAATCTAGAGGAAAAGATTATTCTGCAAAATAATATAATTTATGTCAACATAGGCTGGAAATCATGGTAGGAACTCTGAAGGCATTGAATGTGTCTATTCATTTTTATATCCTTAATGCCAAAGTTTAGTTGGCTCTTAAATGTTTATTGTGTAGAAGATTAAGCAAATAGTAGCAAGCATAAATCAACAGCTGGTAATTTAGAGAGCTCTGTAGTATTTGTAATGCATGTGAGTAAGGATGCCTAGGATTCTGGTTAGAACTTTCAGGTGACTGGTTAGAGTCTGAACAAGTGAAATATAGAGTAAATAAGAGAATTTAATAGAAAACAAAGGCATTCAAATTGAGCCAGTTGTCTTAGGTTCATCTTAATTCCTAACTGTGAAAGAAAATAGGAAGACTATTCCACGTTCCTGTAACCCAGAGAGTGTTAAAAAGAAACAGTGGCTGCAGTGCCTGATATTTTTAGTATAAAGCCAATTGGGATTACCAGCCCTGGGGACTATTGCTGTGATGACACTTTGAGTAAGGACCAAGGTGGGGACTAGAGTGATTGTACTAATAAGTGTCGAAGACGTAAATATAGTTACCTAGGAAAAGATGACCACATTTTGGATTCTCTGCATTTTGCAGATACACTCTATTTGAAGGAAAACAGATAGTTTATTTCTTTGTGTGTGCTTCTAGGTGCATATAGCCCTGGAATATATACAGGTTCATATATACAGGTACATTCATATGATTTGATATTGATGGTAGCTAAGACTGAAAATATTTATTTTCCTTCCTGTGTTTGAACAAACAGGAGATACGGAAGGTGACACAGAACAGAAGAAGATCATAAAGAAAAGGGAAAACAAGAAGAGAGATGTGGAGGCTGCAGCGGCCTTGGCAGCAGAGCCATCTCCCCTACCTGGGTCTCCTGTAAGAGGCCAGAGGAAGAGTGCTTCGAACTTCTTCAAGGAACTTAGAGAAGAGCGGCATTGTGCTCCTGCTGGGACCCCCACAGGTCCCTCTTCAGAACCAGAGATCCTTGCTGCTGCAGTTCATCCCTCTTCCCCAAAGAACAATAGGGAACAAGTAGAAGTGGTAGAATTTCACAGCAGAAATAAAAAAAGAAAATTGACGCCAGATCATAACAAGAGCACAAAGGTAATGGGTTGGTTAGCTTATATGTACGTGGTGAAACCCCTGGTATTGTAGTATTAGGTGAGTAGCTTTTTAGACTGTGGCAGGAATGCCTGACTATCCTTAGGCCTGCAGATTTGCCAAAAGGACTCACAGGACCCAAGACAGCATATAGCCCTTATCAGTCATGTAGGCCTATAGACTGACCTTAGTTATGCAAGTTGTCTTAGGTTCATCTTAATTCCTAACTGTGAAAGAAAATAGGAAGACTATTCCACGTTCCTGTAACCCAGAGAGTGTTAAAAAGAAACAGTGGCTGCAGTGCCTGATATTTTTAGTATAAAGCCAATTGGGATTACCAGCCCTGGGGACTATTGCTGTGATGACACTTTGAGTAAGGACCAAGGTGGGGACTAGAGTGATTGTACTAATAAGTGTCGAAGACGTAAATATAGTTACCTAGGAAAAGATGACCACATTTTGGATTCTCTGCATTTTGCAGATACACTCTATTTGAAGGAAAACAGATAGTTTATTTCTTTGTGTGTGCTTCTAGGTGCATATAGCCCTGGAATATATACAGGTTCATATATACAGGTACATTCATATGATTTGATATTGATGGTAGCTAAGACTGAAAATATTTATTTTCCTTCCTGTGTTTGAACAAACAGGAGATACGGAAGGTGACACAGAACAGAAGAAGATCATAAAGAAAAGGGAAAACAAGAAGAGAGATGTGGAGGCTGCAGCGGCCTTGGCAGCAGAGCCATCTCCCCTACCTGGGTCTCCTGTAAGAGGCCAGAGGAAGAGTACTTCGAACTTCTTCAAGGAACTTAGAGAAGAGCAGCATTGTGCTCCTGCTGGGACCCCCACAGGTCCCTCTTCAGAACCAGAGATCCTTGCTGCTGCAGTTCATCCCTCTTCCCCAAAGAACAATAGGGAACAAGTAGAAGTGGTAGAATTTCACAGCAGAAATAAAAAAAGAAAATTGACGCCAGATCATAACAAGAGCACAAAGGTAATGGGTTGGTTAGCTTATATGTACGTGGTGAAACCCCTGGTATTGTAGTATTAGGTGAGTAGCTTTTTAGACTGTGGCAGGAATGCCTGACTATCCTTAGGCCTGCAGATTTGCCAAAAGGACTCACAGGACCCAAGACAGCATATAGCCCTTATCAGTCATGTAGGCCTATAGACTGACCTTAGTTATGCAAGTTCTAAACCTCCAGTGAAAAGCAGGTATTCGCCATCAATCACATTGCTAGGATAAACTGTCTGGGAAAACTTGGTACGGCAGTGGTTCAAGACTTCAGGTATGCAAAAACACTCTGATCAGGCAGAATATTCTAATTGCTCAATCCTCAGGAGCCAGCCAACTGCCAGTGGTGAAAATAGGACTTTCTTGAGAACATGCACGGTTTGATAAACACAGGCCTGCTGAGTTAACCCTTTCAGCAACTCTTTCTGGCATTCCTGTTACGTGCTAGCCACAGTTGTAGGCACTGAGATATAGCAGTGAACAAAATATATAGAAATTCTTGCTCTTGAGGAAAAGCAATGCTGGTGGAAAAGCAATTTGATTTTTCTGAGCAGTAATCCTTTTCAGACTGAACTTGTAAATCTGACCCAAAATTCAGTCCTCAAGGGAGGTGTGGTTTCTCCTCCAAATGTTTTTAATTTTTTGTTTTTGAGACGGAGTCTCGCTCTGTCATCCAGGCTGGAGTGCAGTGGTGTAATCTTGGCTCATTGCAAACTCTGCCTCCTGTGTTCACGCCATTCTTCTGCCTCAGCCTCCCGAGTAGCTGGGACTACAGGTGCCCGCCACCACGTCTGCCTAGTTTTTTGTATGTTTAGTAGAGATGGGGTTTCACTGTGTTAGCCAGGATGGTCTTGATCTTCTGATCTCATGATCCACCCGCCTTGGCCTCCCAAAGTGCTGGGACTACAGGCGTGAGCCATTGTACCCGACCCCAGATGTTTTTAATTTATTGACAAGCATGTCATAATGGCTTTGACAAATTCATTGCTATTCCATTTCTGTAACCTCCCCCATGTCCTGCAAACCTTTGTCTATCAACAAAAAAGTGAGGATTGTATGTATTAGTTTCTAAGGGCACTCTAACAAATTACCACAAACATGGTGACTTCAACCAACAGAAATGTGTTCTCTTATAGTTCTGTAGTCCAGAAGTCCAAAATCAAATTGTTGGCAGGACTATGCTCCCTCTGAGGGCTCTGGGGGAGAATGCTTTGCGTCTGACCAGAAGGTGGCTCT